TAGTGCATCAACCCACAGACTGAAGAGTCCCAGGTTCAATTCCAGTAAAGGGCACTTACCTCAGTTGCAGGTTTAATCCTCAGCCCCAATCAGGTGTATGTGAGAGATCCATGTGTCTCTTTCATATCAATGTTTCTCTCTCTCTCTCTGTCTCTCCCCCTCCCTTCCACTCTCTCTAAAAATTAATGGAAAAATATCCTCATGTGAGGATCACATAAATAAATAAATAAATAAATAAATAAATAAATAAATAAAATGGAGGCAAGCCATCTATTAGATACATAGTTCAAAATTCTGGATATAAGGATGAACTTAGGAGAAGAATAGATGACTCTCACCACTCTTATTCAACATAGTACTGGAAGTCCTAGCCACAGCCATCAGACAAGACGAAGAAGAAGAAAAAGAAGAAGAAGAAGAAGAAGAAGAAGAAATAATATCTGAAAAATAAAATGGCAATAAACATATATCTGCCCAGCCAGTGTGGCTCAGTGGTTGAGCATCAACCTATGAACCAGGAGGTCATGGTTTGATTCCCAGTGAGGGCACAGGCCCAGTTTGTGGGCTTGATCACCAGTGTGGGGCTTGCAGGAGGCAACTGATCCAAGATACTCTCTCATTATTGATGTTTCTATTTCTCTCTCCCTCTTCAAAATCAATAAAACTACATTAAAAAAATACATATCTGTCAATGATTGAATCTAAAAAACAAAATAAGCAAATAAGCAGAAGAGAAACAGACTCATAGATACAGAGAACATTTTGATGGTTGCCAGATGGGAGGGGCTTGGGGGGACGGGTGAAAAAGGTGAAGGGATTAAGGAATATAAATTGGTAGTTACAGAAGAGTCACAGGTATATAAAGTACAGCATAGGGAATATAATCCTATATAATAAAAGCCTAATATGCTAAGTGTCCGATCATCTGGTCATCAGTTCAACCAATCAAAGCATAATACTGTATGCTAATGATATGCTAAGGCAGCTCAACCGCTCGCTATGACATGCACTGACCACCAGGGGGCAGACACTATGACTGGTAGGTTAGCTTGCTGCTGGTGTCCGGCAGATTGAGACTGAGTGAGACAGGCCAGACATGTCCTGGAGCCCTCCCCAGCTGGCCAACCTCCTGTGTCCTTCCCTAGCCCCGATTGTACACTGGTGTGGTACCTCGGCCTGGCCTGTGCCCTCTTGCAATCTGGGCTGAGGGACCCCCACCCCCAAAAGTGCACAAATTTCATGTACCAGGCCTCTAGTCAATAATATTCTTAATAACTATGTGTGGTGTCAGATCGGTAGGAGATTTACTGGGATGATCACTTAATAAGTTATATAACATCTAACCATTAGGTTGTACACCTGAAACTAATGTATAGTCTGTATGTCAACTTTAATTTAAAAATAATTAAAGAAAAAAGAAAGAATTCAGCAACTAGTAGGGGACAAAACATGACATTATTTCGTGAAACCAGTTTGTCAGGATGAACAGGAAATTGAATTGGGGGCTTTGGTGGTTTTGCTCCAAGAAGATGAATAACCTGAGCCGGATAACCTCTCCAGAGTGTCTGTGCCAACACGGAGAGCATAGCCTACGAGGATTCTCAAACTTGAGAAGTGGGTGGCTCATTGAAAATGTAGATTCCAGGATTCCGATTGCTTGGTTCCGATTTGTAGACTTACCTGGGGCCCAGGCACCTGCATTTAAACATGCTCTGAAGCTGATTCTGGAACAGATGGTCTATGAGCCACACTGTGAAACACAGATAAAGTCAGAATTCTTTTTTAATGATTAAAAGAAAAACATGTTACAAATGCAAACACTAGCACTTCCTCTAGGTCACAAGGTCAAATTCCAGGCCCCTGCAGAGCCTGCCTTTGTGTCCCACCCACAATTCTCTACTCATTCATGCAACCTGAGATCCTGACCCTCACCTTTTATGGCGCTCCCCAAGCCCAGGAGCTGCTCTGATGGCAAGGAAGGCCCCGTGGAAAATAGTCCAAAAGCTATTTTCTCTCATGCAAATAGCTCTGCTAGAACACCATGTAACTATTGTGTTGTTTTGTTTTTCCGTGAAGTGGTAGGAAACAGGGGAATGTGATAGTCCTTTTTCTGGGTTCAGGAAGGAAGAAAGCAGCTGACTGACATGTAAGTCTATGAGGTTGAATTTTTGCACATGCACGGCAACTTATAAAAAAAAATTTTAAAAAATACTTTCCCCAAACAGTTGAAATGTAATTACTTCTGCCAACATTTGCCATGTAATAAATTGAAGTGACCAAGGAAATATCTCCCATAACTGGTCATAGTATAAGGCTACTCAAGAAGCTGCAGGACATATAAACAGCCCTTTTCCAATCCCAAGAGGTGGGAGACAGACAACCAGTCCAACTGGTGCTCGACATATGTTTACAAGAACGAAGTCCGTTTTCTTTTTATCTTTCTTTTTTGGTCAAAAGTCATTTTCCTAAACTGTTGTTTTGCATGTATATGTCCCCCAAAATGAATGTGTTTGAAGGTTACGTAATTTGTCAGCTTGTTCCCGCTTACTCCGAGTTTCAGTTGTAATTGAAAGATGAGAACAACAGCTAAGGAGTACAAGTTCTAAAGAGAGAGGTGTTGGAGATGCCAGCTTAGGACTTGCTAAGAGTGGCCAGATGTGATCATGTGACCCTCAGCCTTTTACCTGCCTTCAGCTTGTCTGAGGAAGGAGAGATATTTGGTGGAGAAAAGAGGCTTTCTTTGAAGAGGGTTGTCCGCTAGGAGAATGGGCGCTGGACTGCCCCTGTACCCCACGCCAAGTGAAGGAAGCAGCCAGAGAACCTCTCAGAGCTGGGGGTGTGGTGTCAGTAGAGGAAAGGGACAGCTCACCTAGTCCCCACCTAGGTGCTCACTGAGATGCGGCAGTTCTCCTACCAGAGCCAGGAATCTACATGTGACCACAAGAGTTTGAGTGTGGACATGAAGACAGATGCTGCCCTCTACGGCCCCTGCTGGCCTGATCTCCTAGGTTTCAGTGGGGATGGGGAGTGAGGGAGGTGAGCCTGTACTATGTATTCAGGGGGCCAAGTGGACACCAGGGAAAGAAGCTGGCACAAGAGAAAGAACTGTGTGGGGAATAGACGAAGAGTGCATTAGACAGGGCAGAAGCCTGAATGTGGTCATAGAGAAGTCCTTCAAAGTACCTACAAATGTTCCTCACGAGGAAAACAAGCCAGCCTTTGAGCTTTTTCAAAGAGAGAGAAGGCATTGGATGGTCAAGAGAGATGTTCTAACAGTTGGTTTGATAATCACAATTTGCCCCTTTTCCTACCATCCTTCCTCCCCTCCACCCCTTTCTCCCACAGTCAATAGAATCCTGGAGGACAGGAGAGGATGTGGAGTCACGTAGACCACAATCCCCTTCCTGAATCCAGGGTCTGAGCATAGGTTAGACATGAGCTAGGGAAAGGGAAGAAGGTTTAAACTGGAGGAGAGAGCAAAAGTCTGGCCTGACTGGTCACATTTCCCAATTACAGGAAATAAGAGTGTTCTAATGCTTGGACAGGTAAAGCCACGTTGTCTGCCTGAGATACTATCTCAGGGGAGAGAAGGAAAAAGCAACAGGACATCTGACGTCAGTGATAGAGGAAAAACAAAATAACACAAATGTATACTCCCTGCTCGAATCCTCCTGAGTCCTGCCCACTTAGTAAACCAGATACCTTTGCAATGTGCACTGGCAGCAAAGGATAGAAACTGAATAAGGCCATTGCTGTCAGCAGATCACTTGCACAAGGAGGACAGGATCCTTATTGAGAAAAGAACCTGTCTCTTGTTTTCTGATTTCTCAGCCTGCACCAGACTAAGAAGAAGCTGGACCCACTGACTCTTTTGCCTTCGGGAGGTTTGTGTGTTAGAGCAGAAAGCAAAATAAGAGGAAGACAATTTCTCCTATTTTCTTGTGTGAAAGCTTTATAATTTTTTAAAATATATATATTAGATATCTACTTTAAAAAAAAAAAAGGCAGAGAAAAAAGAGCATCTTTGAGAGGGCTCCCAAATGGAAAGGGAGTAAAATTCAGCTGGATCCAAGGGTAGTTGGAGCCTGTCCCTCCTTCCAATAGCACTATAAACAAGAGGACATAATTTAGAGGGGAAGAATGGACCAAGGAGAGAGGGTATGTCCCAACCAGTGGGCTCCCTTCAAGAACCACAAATGCCTGGATAATGAGACCAAATCATGGGCTAGAAACTAAAGGCTCATAATCCTCAGTCTGGGCTCAGTGGTACCATTTAAGCTCCTTCAATTTTCATTCATCCCTCGGAAAGATTGAATTCTCCAGTAACCTGAAGGTATTTGGACATGGAATCAAATATAATACTGGTTTTTTTTAATTGGCATTTATTGACCATCTGAATTTGTAGTTGAAAATTCACATCCACTACAGGAGAAAAGAAACAGCCAGCTGTAAATGTCTTGATAAATGCCACAAGAGAGGTATGCATTAAGAGGCTCAAGGAAAAGTTTCCCGAGAAATCCCTCTATGGAGGAGACAGGATTTTGAGATAAACTTTGCATGACTCATAGACTCCAAAGACAGCAGCGGCGGAGGGGTGAGCGGACGGCATCTGGTGTCAGAAAAGCACGGAGATGGAAAAGTCCAAAGGAAACTGTGTATAGAAGCACTTCACGGCAGTTATTCATAGAAGATGCTACGGAAGATCGGGGATGAGAAAGGAATTTGGGTGGGACTTGAATGCGAGCCTGAGGGTTTGTATTTATTTTGGCAGCAACAGGAAAACATTGACAGTTTTCAAGGGGTAACGTGGCATGATGAGAGCTGAGCTTTAGAAAAACGTAATCTGGCAGAAATACACGGGATGGATGGAAGGAGAAAGTGATTGAGATGGGATGGGAAACAGGAGGCAGTTGCTGGAATCCAGGTGACAGGTCATGAAGGGCGTGACAGAGTGGCAGTGACCTTGGATTGTAGGAAAGGCTGTGAAAGACACTGAGGAGTTAGATCTTCCACCTGCATGGGTGTGAGACAAGATGGACTGTTAGGCATCAAGCCCAGCTGACAGGAAATATCGTACTGCTATTATAGAAGTGGGAAATCATGGAAGAGGAGATAGTTTACAGTGGACAAGTTCTAAACTTGAATTCGTTTAACCTGATATCTGGATTTACAACTAGGTAGAGATGTCAGGAGAGAGGAAGAGCCTAGAGATGAAGGGTGAGGAGTGCCTTAATAGCAAAGTTTCCTGCGTCCCTTAGGGGATGTCTCAGAATGATTTTGGGACAGGGAGGGAGGGTAGGGCTGGGCTGTGACAATGGAGGCATGGAAAAATGAAGTGTGGAGTAGGACAACATACACACACACACACACACACACGCACACACACATGGCTTGGTCCAGATAATGAACCTGAAAAGAACTGGTTAAAGAGTTTTCTGGTTTACTTGGAACTTACCGTCATTGCCTGTAGTGTTGTCCCTGGGCCCCTATGTCTTTCCCAGCACCTTTCAGGCTCCCTGTCCCATGGATTTTCTCAGTGGGATGCATATACGCCTGAGAGGCAACTAGACTTCCTGAGTTTGAAGAGGCTCTGCCACTTTTGACCTGAGGGAGCACTTCTTTAGCCCACTGGTCTCAATTTTCTTGCCCCCCCCCAATTGTTTTAATAATAAAATGAAAATGAAATTTGTAGGGTTTTTCTTGTAGAGAAGAAATGAGATAGTGCCTAACAAAGCACCTGGTAGAGTGACTAGGAAGCATTAAGCCCCCAACAAACATTGTCCCCTCCCTGCTCTTCTGCCCGGCACCTGTCAGTAGTAGCTGCTGGTAGAGATGAGGGCCCCTCGCCGGTGCAGCTCTGAACGGCACAGAGAGGAATGAATGGAGACCTACAACCCTATTCAGCCCTACAGATGGTAACTCCATTCTTTCAGTTGCTGGGGCCAAACCCCAAAGTCATCACAGATGCCTCTCTCGCTCTCACATCCTACACACATCCTCTTCGGCAAGGCCTTCTGGCTTCAGGCTTTACCATCAAAGGGTGGCTGGAACCTGACAGCTTTTCACCGCCTCCCCAACAGCTACACAGCCGCCCACCAGACCCTCTGCCCGGATTACTGCAGTAGCCTCCTGCTTGCTCTCCCAGCCCCTACCGCTGCCCCCACCCCAGCCCCACCCCACTGTTTTCCACACAGCAGCTGCGATGATCCTTGTAAAATATAAATGAGATCACACTCCTCTTCTGCTCAAAACTCTCCAGTGACACGCCATCTCACTGAGGATCAGATCCCAACGCTGGACCACGTTTGGCACAACCTCACTCTGGCATCATCCCCTGCCTCTCTCCTGCCCCTCTGACCTGCCTACGGTGTCTGCACAGGCTTGGCCCTCGCTGTTACCCCACCCTTTGAATGTTCTCCCTGAGATCCTGTACAGCTCCCTTCGTCTCTGAGCTATCTCCCAATCTCTTTAAAAAAAGGAAAGAAGTCCTCCATCTCATTTCGTCAGAAAAAGCCTCTCTCTCCCCCTTGGACAAAAAAGCAACCTCTCCTCCCCTTTACTTTTTTCTGTCCTGCTTTATCTTTGCCTTCATAGCATTTACCACCACCTGCATTACGTGTTTACTCACTTAGTTGTTCTGTTGTGAATTTTCACCGGAGGATATTTTCCCATTGATTTCTAGAGAGAGTGGAAGGGAGGGGGAGAGCTAGAGAGACACGTCCATTGTTTGCCTCCTGCAGGTGCCTGATCAGAGCCCGGGATGAGCCTGCAACCGAGGTACATGCCCTTGACCAGCATTGAACCCGGACCCGGCTGGGGCTAGTTGTTTTTTAATCTCTTCCCACTAGACCGGTATCTCTATTTTCATATCTCCTTCTGTGTTTCCAGTACCTGGCTGGACATGGGGCCTCATTTCTTTTAACCAAGAAGAATATCCCTGGATGGACCTCCTGAAAAGCTGCTCCGGGACAACTGCTCTCACCCCAGGCTCCCCGCAAGGCATAGTGGTTCCTTGTCACCCTGGGGCGTTTGATTACTAGTGTCTCCTCAGAGAGCTCTGAAGAGGTTTAAACCCGCTGGCCCTCCTCTCTGTCCCAGGACAGGCATCCCTGGCTGTTTGGCAGTTGGCTTTCTGCCACTTTGTTTTTATAAAAGACCTACATTAATACCTGCTTTTGCTAACAGAAAAAAATCAGAAGCAGATTTTTGCCGGGAGCCGGTCCATCCTTGCTGTTTCAAGGGACCTGGCATATATGACATACTGTTCTTAATATGTTTGCTCACCTTCTTGGCGCTATGTGTTTTAACCAAGGTCACCTCTCTGAGAAAGGTTGTTTCCCCAGGTAGGGATTTTCCCCTGAAGTTAGGGAGGGAATAAAACCCTAACTAAGTGCCAGGCGGGGAATTAATCACTTTAACTACGAACAATCATGCTTAAGCTACATAATCTTTACTCCCTGGAATGGAGATAAGAAATGCCCTAACCTTTGGAATAGAGATTGATAGGATTGAATCAACTGGTATAA